GAGCAATCACAAAAAAAGAATTTCGGCTTTCCTCATAACACATCTGCTCAGAGGCTCAGCTGTCCAATGTGTTGGGAAAAACAATTCAAAAGGGGTGAAATATAAGAAAAGAAATATAAGAGATGAACTGTAAGAGAAAATATTTCCATAATATCAAACAAATAAGAATAAATGTAGATATTTTACACATGAACAACTTTCCTCCTCTACCAATAGGTAACTGAATTATTATTACAGAGCAGATCAAAGTACATTTGGGAAACAGAAATATGTTTCTGTGTAAACACAGTCATGCTCTTAGAAAAAAAGGTGTATTAGAGAACTGTGCTTTAGCACCAGTGGGCTCATAAACTAAAGCAGTTTCCTTAACATGATCACTGCATTACCCTGGCAACTTCTTTCCAGTGTCATTATCAGGATATGTAATACATGAAGAATAAAGGGAGAATGCAGCTTCCATTTTACAGTGGCTGCCTGGCATCAGAGTATCTGAGTGTTACACCAATATTTATGCAATAAAGATAGGATCAGTAAAGCTCATGGCTACAGACCACAATAATTTCTGTTCTTTAGTAAAGGCACCTTCAGCAATAAATCCATTTTCTGTATCAACCCTTGTAATATTATGCTGCGTACCTAATAAGTCCCCTAGTTTTTCTGGATTTGCATATTGTTTGAAAATTGTGTTATGATTCTTCCAGGCAAAATATTCTCAGATATTGAACACTGCTTTAAATTCAGCTGTTAATATTAATAGCGGTAGTTTAAACAGAAATCTTGTTTGAGTCTGCATGCATTTCTGTAGAGGGAGTATTGGAGAACTGAATCCTTGGCTCTTGATCTACTTTTTAGACTAGATCTAGACCCAGAAAGAAAAAACAAACTCTCACAAGAGTGGTCTGGCTGTGATATTTTGAACCTATCTACAAAAAACCCCTAAAAGCAGTGCACCATATGCAGTGTCTAATTGATTAATCCTACTCTTTGAGTACTTCTGTTATTTCTAGTAAAAAAGAACTATTAAAAAAATTGGTTTCTGAGATTTTGTTTGTTGACTGTGAGCCCTGGCCTGACCTCAGCCTTGAATTTAAATCCCCAGTAGAAATCTGAAATTAATCCACCTCTGTTTTAGTTATCAGTAATTATAATTATTAACAGAAGTATCCAGTAAATGAATGGCTTTCAGTGGCATGGTGTTTTAACTTGGAACAATGGATAAATAAAAATGTACTTCCTTCTCACTTTACAATGTCTTTTCCCATAGCATTGTCTCTTCCCATAGCAGTGCAGAATCTGGTCCTTACATAGGCATGGTAAAAGACACAAGCCCAGCCATGTGCCTATAGACATTGATGTTTGCTCAAGCACTAAAATGCCACATATTAGAAACCTAAGCAGTTGAAAGCTGCTCCTCCTGTACACGGCTGAATGTTTGATGCTTGATTCCTCTGCAGCTAATTCACAGAGTGGAGTGAAGCAGCTGCCCTGGGAACACTGGCACTGGAGCTCCAAACCCTGCCTTGCTCATCAGTGTTCCCATGGCCTGAAGCTCCCTTGAAAACGCCATGTTTTCACCATGTGAAACAGCCTGAGAGAGCTCCCAGACCATTCCACAGAGGAATTTAGTGTCCTCCTATGGTCTGTCCCATGCAGCATTAAGGAAACCTGCTGTTGGGAGCTATCCGACCTAGAGCTGTTTCCATAGGCAGGAGCAGGCTCAGAGGAGACTGTCAGCCAGTTCAAACACTGAGATTTCTTGAGACATGTCTTCAGGTCTCTGCCTGTAAGCTACTGTACCCAGGAGAGGTTTAATGGGCTGAAAGGAATACCCTGTGCCTATTGTCACAGGACTCGAAAGCCTGGACCATCACCAAAACAGGAAATGTAAAACCTAAGCTGTGAATCCAACTGAACAAATTGGCTGGATTAATACAGTGTTGGGAAAGCCCTGCTTTTATTACAGCTGGACTGTGTGTGCTGCTCAGCACTGAGGGCAATCAGAGCACGGCAGCAGTAGGAAATGACTCTGTAGGGAGCAGCTGGCAAGCCAAACACAGCATAACCCATAGAGGACTGCACAAAGAAGCAGGGAGGAGGCAAGGGTAGGGCAGATGAAGGGTTGTAAGAAAGAAGCCAGCATCACGTCTGTAAAAGTGCCTAAGGGACAACAGGGGAATTTTGGTTTCTTTCAGGACAGTAGAACAGGAGTGAAGGGCACGGCTTTGCAGCTGAATTACTGCACCAGTACATAGATTAGTGCATCATCACAAGTCACGGATCAGCAGCTAAAGGCATGGATACCTCTCTCACATCCCAGGTGTGGCACTTTTTTGTGCCTCTTCCCTTGAAGTTTAAGCTTCCATGTTTTTTTGTCTGGAAGCATATGCTCAATCACTGCTCTGCAGACATGCAATAAGCCAATGGACTCTCTAGGCTGAGCAACCCAAATGACCACGGGATTAAGGCTACACTCCTGGAAATTAGTTAACTCAACTCTAGGTCAAGCTTTGTCTTATGAGGCCAGGCAGCTGCAGAAAAACTGAGTAGGTCAACATGAAACTAAAGATTGTCTCATTGCACACAGAAGGAAGACATGAAGGTAGCACAAGCTATTCTGTCCTGCCATCCCTTGGTAGCTGAGTCTCTTGCTTGTTCTTCTTCAACTCAGCAAGAAGAATGCCATGTCTATGCTGATAGATCAACATACAAACTACCTCTGCGCTGAGGGCTAAAAGAAGCAGCTGAAGAAATAGATGAAATAATTAGGATAGTGTACATGCTGCCCCCAGGCTACAGCCCTACCACCCCCAGTGAGATGAATGAAGGACCACAAGGCCCAGGGAAGCCTGAATTCCTAGGGCTTGGGCATCACTGGCCCACTGTTTCTGGAGGGGCTTGGTAGAGTAGCAAAATGAGCAAAGAAATTGGGATTTCTCTGTCTGTGCTCTTTCCTGCAGTGTCTGCTAAGGTTCAGAATAGCCCTGGAGGTGTCTTTCCCCCGGACCCTACACAGTGGTCCAGTGAGCCTCAGATCTCCTCCCTTCCCCCTCAGTTCATAGAAGAAAAACACTAAGATGTTTCCGTTGGCTTTTACATCATCTTTTTGTAGAGACTAATCTTCAGTTTCAACAATACATCTTTTGTGAAGCACTCCCAGCAGAAACCTTAGACACCTTCTCTAAGATCTGTTTGCTTACAGAAGATGAGGTAGGATTTGTTTAAACCCAGCTAGATTAATGTCTTGCAGACATTAGTGAAGTGATATTTAATCAGGTTATTGCTCTACATTTTCCAGGGAAATAAATCACACTTATTACTAGGTTGGAATAGGATGCAAGGCTTGGGCTGAGAACATTTACTCTTTTTTGTTTTTCCAGAGGGGAGTGAAGGGATAACTTGAAAATTGGTGCAAGGCTGTCGAATTGGGAGCTCAGCAAAAGGCCCTCAACAACTTGGAGGTGGGAAAAGGGAAGGCAACTAGTGGAAGTCTGAGGGTGGGCTTTGGTGCCAATCCCCTGCCTTGCAGAGGCACTGTAAGATCTGTATCAGTACAGAGGGTAGTCAGGAGCTTAAAGCAGACTCTCAACATCCATTTGAGATTCTCCATGTGAAGTCCTCCATAGCTCTTGGGACATCACTAATCTTCTGAGTGTCTATTTCTGCCCGGCCCACGTGTCTCTGCATCGAAGGTAGTTGTGTGATCAAGCAACCTTTGCAAATATACTTATAGACTCTAAATGGAAACTGATAGTCAGCAGGTCTCAGAGTGTAGGCTTACCTTGTTGCAATGGTTTCTAAGTTTGCAAGATATGTTTAACAGTGTACAAGCAACTGTATTTTTTCATGCCAAACATTTTTCTAAAACAAGGCTGACTAGGAAACTAAAATAAAGCAGCTCTTTATCCAGGTTTTAAATTAAAAACTGCTCTTTTCTTCATTTAAGAAACAAAAAAGACTTTGCTCTCAGCTTTATCAGCAGTGGTTTTTTTTTTTAGTATGCATGCTAATACGTCCCCTTGTATAAAACCATGCATGTGCAGGAGACAAAGTTTGGGAAATCAAATTGTAAAGGTTCTCTCCCTTCTACCACCATGGGAACAGAGAGCTGAAGCCAGTACGAATCTTTCCACTTAGTAAAGGTTTGCATGCATTTAAGTGCCCAAAACCCAGGAGCTTTATATACATTTCCCCTTATCCAATTGGCTGCACAAACACCAGAGAAAGCAAATTACAGTAATGCAGCCTGCAATCAAGTTTCAAATCATGCAACAAAGCAGCAAAAAACACAATGGAATCAAGTCAAAATCTTATTATGGACCACAATAAAACATCCTGTTCGGTATGAGGGAGAAAAGGAAATACCAAGCAAGGCAGCACTGTTGCTTGTAAATACCCTTCTGCCAATGCTTTCCCTGGATAAATTAGTCCTCTGAACCCTAACTGCATCAGCATGAATCAGCCTGTCTGCTGCAAGGGAAAGGCTGCAATTCTGTTTCGTGTTTAATGGGAACTCTTTTCTCTGCCTTTTTTTGGCTTCCTGCTTAGAAAGAATAGACTCTCTAGAGACAATTCTGGATCTGGACCACAGTCTTCCTCCCTTCAAATAACTAAGTATCTCTGGGCAGGAGTACATTTAAAGAAGCAGATGGTAATTATTAGCCAAGTGCTTACTGGCAGGATTTCCCCCTGATATTCAGCCAATGCTTTTGGGAACTAAATGACTTTTTGGTGATAACTATCAGGTAAAACCCACAAGCCAGGGGAGGTTCCCTCATTAGAATCATCAGCAAGAAACAATGTGAAGGTGGGTGGAGGATGGGTGAAAATTGTGTCTGAGGGTTGCTTGACTCCCTTGTCCTCCACACACCCAACATTGTGCGTGACTGCTGGGCATTCTCTAGGTAGTACTCGAAAGCTACAAAATCAGTTCCCACACCTACACCAGTAATAAAAACAAATGACTTTTTCCTTCCAGCTAATCAAAATGTACTGGGCAGCACTGGAAATCCATCACAGCACTTACTCTTTTGGAGGGTTAAGGTCTTCCGGGCGAGCCTCAAAAAACCTGAAGACTTCATCGCACTGGGAAATATGAGGAGGAAGCCGAACCAGTGCCTGTAAAACAAAACAGGGAGGGAGAAGCACTTAGACAAGTCAAGTTCAAAACATGGCCTCAAACATACAAGCTACCAAGCAAGAGGAGGTAAAACAGCCCTGGTAGGGGGAAAGGAATACTAACAGAAAACATCACACCTGGCTACTTACCTGAGAGGAAAGGAAACAGAATGTCTTCACTGCAAATGTCAAGTAGGATGCAATGAATTCAGACAAGCAATGGTTCTTAGAACCAGCCAATGTAATTTTTCTGCCATGTGTACAAGAGCAGAATTTGGTCTACATGTGCAAAACCATAACACTGAGTAGATAAGTGTTCTGTGGCTGGGACAGTCTCTGTGATATGGGCTTGGACAGCACCTCAATCAGTGGGTTTACAGGCCCACAAATTCAAGCAGTGAAAATCAACACCCACTAATACAAAAGGTTAATGTGCTTCATAAAGCTTTCCATTAAGCACTGTCAACAGAAAAAGCAGAGTTTTCTAAAAAAAAAAAATCCCATAACCAAACCAAACAACACACTGCTCCTAAATTAACAGGAAAGGAAGTTTGATTAAGCGTCTGGAAAAAAACGCCAACCAAAAAAAAACCCAAATCACAGAGAGGCTGTTTCTGCATGAAGGTTTCACAGCACGTCCTGGCTAACAATGTCCAGGCACTTGCCACGGCACAGGTACACAGTGCTTGTCACATTCAGCAACAGTTATGTACAGTCAACCACACTGTGTCAAAGTGAAACTTCAACAAGACAAGCACACAAGGCAGAAATGTGCTATGAATTTGGTGTTCAGAATGTATAGCTTGGTGGTACTAAAAGAGGCCAAAGAGCTGTCTCCAGCCCACACAGGGGGGACTCTGTGATTGCCTCCAGAAATGTCAAGCAGGAGCAGAAAAGAGGCTGGACTTCACCTCCTCCTGTGTTATGCTGAAAATAGGCCACAGGTTAAATATAGACCAAGCTTCTTAGAGTTGCTGTAAACCTGTTTGACAAAATGAGATTGTCTGGCTCTTCTGCTAGTTGAAAATAGGACAAACAATCTTGAAAGATGGATGAAAAACTGCACCAGAGCTAAATGAAGATGCATTAGGGCAAACAGGTTATACTAACCATGAGACATCTGACTGATCTTGGTCAGACACACCAGAAGGCCCAGCCAAAGCACAAAGGCAGGACAGGGCAGTTGGTTACCCTCACAGCTGTTTTTAACCAGGCTTTAGAAGTGGCCAGATTTGTTTCCAAGTCCACTTTTGCTTGGGGATGTGAAGGAAAAGAGCTGAAAAAATACTGCTTGGAAACTGCAGGTCTCCAGTATTAAATGATGGTGTCTTTTTTTTGAGGTGGTCAGAAATTCAAAGTCAAGTGTGTCCTCCCTCTTTTCCCTGGTGGAGGGATGATATAAAAATACTAGGAAAATCCATTTGGTATCACTAGGCCTGTGAAGAATGAGGTCCTGGCCCTTGGTCACATGGAACTGCACTATAGAGCAGAAGAAGATGCCTAGCAATGAGGAAGCAGCATCAGATACAGAAGCTGGTGGGTCCAAATGCTGGGGCATGCACCACTGACTGCTGCACTAACACAGGATAAAATGTAACAGCAGGAAAACTCAAGCACTTTTATGAGAACTAAGGATGCCCTGGTCCTCACCACTGTCTGTTCAATCTTGCCTAAAAGCACAGCAAAGGTGAGAGTTCTCTGCCCTTACTTCTGTGTAAACACATGCATCCAGCTGGCAAACCAGGAATAACACTGGAAAGTCAGGAACTGCCCAGGAATAATGATCACAGTATTTTGAAAGAGAAATGCCTCTGCAGCATGGGCTAACAATGACATAGACAACATTAAAGCATGTTTTATTCATTTCCATCTCAAACAGGAGACAGATGTACACGGCAAAGCAATACTGTCTAACCATCAGTGGATGGGGCTAAGATTTAGCAATGGCTCTATTACTAACGCCCTTCTTGGTTAGGGTAGGTTACTTAACCTCTTTCCATCAAATTCAGCTGGGATATATCTTCAGTTACACCCTTACAATGCTGAGCAATAACACTTACCTAATCTGCAGAAAGGTTAGGAGGCTCAGATATTCAATATCTACAGTGTGTTTTGAAATCCCAAAGGGCTCGATCTTGCACAGTCAATGGGGCAAGAGCAAGCACTGCAAATGATACGTATCATTACTAGAGAAACACAAATACCCGAGTTATACCCATCACGGGGGGTCTTGGACATCAGACGCCTTCTCAAAGAGTCACCATTTCCCTACAGGTCACAGGTGCTCACCCTTTCCAACAACCAAGCTCCAGATATCAATATTGGAGGACTGAGTGGATTTTCAGTGATGGAGGAACACAAATCCTACCAAGCTGCTGTGGAGATTTTTGTTTCTAAATCAAGGTAAGCTTTAGGAAATCTGAACCCCCTGAATCAGTGGTTGGCTGCCTGTAAATCTCCAGAAGCACTGTGGTCCTGCTGAGACGAAGGGGGATAACTGAAAAGCACCTCCATGACTCCAGGCCTTTGCAGGGAATGGATAAAAATCAAAGTCATTTCCACATCCAGCCGTCCACCTTCCCACCCTGGGGCAGGGCAGGCTCTCCTGCTTCTGAATCATCTCCCGAAGTGCTGCAATTTCCAGCCCTGTGCATGGAGATGGACTGAAATCCACCTCATAGTAACTTGCCATTGCATGTTTTTTGGGAAGCTGAGGTGTATAGTCCAGCCAATTAATTTTTACTTGTTTTTCTTAAGGAACAAAACCCTAAGAAGCGGTAAGAAAGGGTAAAAAAGTGCAAACAAAGAGTATAAAAGCAGTCAAAATCCATCTATTAATTTTGGATAGCACCAGGGAGAAGCAAAGCTCTTTAGAGAAACAAATGTGTCTTCAGCAAATACACAACATCTACCCAGGAACAAGCCAAGGCCAACGGGATTCCAGCAAGGAAACAAAAAGTGCATTTAGGTGATGAGGGACACCACTGTTACTCTGAAAGGGGAAAATACAAGTTTCTGGCATTTCCAGCATAAGAGAGCTGCAACAGCCTGAAGGAGAGATGCGTAAAGACAAAGAGGAAAAGAGATGATAAAAGGACAGAAAGGACAGGGAAGTGACATTCTTCTGGGGATGTGGAAACCAGAGGTAAATGCACACAGCTACAAACAGCAAGCATCCAGAAACAGCAAGGAACTTACACAGGAAAGGTGAGAGATAAAAAGTGCCAGCGAGCAGAATTCAGCCTTGCACAACCATCAAGTATTATCAGTAACAGCGTGTTTCCTTGTTCGGCGTGCGAAGGCGGATGTGCGCTGCTCAGCCCTCACGTGCTCCTTAGAACAGCTTTTATGTGCTTTTTTGTGCTATTTCAGCCTGTAACGATGCCTGTCTCTCTATATTACAGGTTACGGACAGTCTCGCAGAGTGCATGACTTGAAAAGCTGTAACATCAGGCAGGGCATGAGCAGGCAGCCCTCGGAGCTGAGGAGGGCTGGCTGCTCACACAGCACCAGCCCACCGGCAGGAAGGCTGCTGGGTGCCACACGTGGCATTCGGAGCCAACAGAGCACCAAGAGCAGGCAGGGGTTCATGGCTTAAGGTTACATGAACTGGAAACAGCTCTGTGGGACTGTATTACAGCTCAAAGGCTTCATGGAACACATGCACATGGGTATAAAACCCTGCAGGTGCTTGTAACAATGCACTGAGTGCTGTGGGTTGCATTTATGCGGATATATTTATAAAAAACTGACTACGGACGTATATGTAGAGATAAACAGCACATGTGTAGGTGTGTGTGTATATAGGCACAGAATGAGTTCACCCCACTGAAGGTCATGCATCTTAAATGGGAGACTGGTTGCACTTGTCTGTCAACTTGTATAATCATTAGAGAAAGCACCTTCAGGGGGTCCTTTGTCTACCTTTCTATGGATGTCTGGCTCTTCATGGAGTGAATCACTGACTGTCTCTACACACCCTGTTGAGGCACTTCAGATGCACATCTTTTAGATCCCTAATGTCCAGATCTGCACACAAATACACAGTCAGCTCACAGTAATGCAGGGTTATGACTCTCTGACTTTTCATGTAAGTTCTCCATTGTTTATCATTTTCATTAATATTAATCACTAGTGCCAGATGTTTGGGAATGGTCATGAGTCCAGTAAGGGGGAAGGTGGAATTAAAATAGATAAGTTCTCAGGACAAAGAAATAAATTATTTCATCTATGTGAAAACATCTTCTGTTTGGTTGAGAGCCTCAAGTAACTCCAAGCTTGAATTAACGCACTGAAGTATAGAGGGTGGATGGCAAACACTGACAGTCAGGCAGAGAAGTGGATGAAGAGTGCATGGTAGTGACTCAGACTGGAGAAGAAGCGAGATAAAATAAAGAATTGAGGGAAGAAGGAAAGAGGGTACAGAGTTTTGGAACTAACTGAAACATGTAAGGGCTTCTAGCATGCAAGGACCACAAGGCAACGGAAAGCCAGGCCCTGCTCCAGGTGCTGAGAGGGGTGTTGCAAATAACTAACCCTCATAACTGCAGCAGGTCTAAGTGCGTGAGGATTCTGAAATGTAGATTAAAAAAAATACAGATAAAGTTTGAAGGTATTTCACTTAAACTCTCATTCTTGACCAGGACTATCACTCCATCTTCAATGAACATTAGCTTAGTTGTACAAGGGACAGAGAGAGAAATGTCTGTGTACCTGTCTCAACAGGTTCAAGAATTAAACCTTGACAGAAAGGCATGACTGAGAGACCAAGAGGGAAGTAATTATGTTTTTGAAGTATGGTCTCTCAGATAGTGAACATTAATAAAAGAATGACCAGTACTTCCTGGTGTGGATGTGACTTGCTCATTTAATTTTTATTTAGGTGGTGTCCATTTGGGTACTCAAGCCTCACTACAGAAAAGCCCCTAAGCTTCTACTTAAAGTCACATCCAGTTGGGAAAACATGATGGCATGTGACAAATCCAGGTAAATGTTTGTGACAATGGGACTTCACATATTAAGATCTTCCCTGCACAAAGATGCTTCCCTCAATTAGGATTGACAAACAAAAATACACAAGTCAGCAAATGCTGACCAAAATCTTCCCAGAGGGTTGGGTAAGGAGAGATTGATATTTTTGTGAACCACTGACCTGAGAGGTCTTTCTTGAACATAGGATTGTACATACTGGACAAACACTCACCAGAGGTGTGTTTGGGAGATCAAAAGGTTCATAAATAAAATACCACTGGGAAGAGAGGTCTATGAAGTTGCTCTTTCTTTCACATTGGCAAAAATTCTTAAACAAATTAAGAAAATCAGGCCCAGTGAGCCCAGAAGACCTTAAATCACACTAAACTAATTCCAAGCCTACAGTTTAAAGGGAAATCATCCAGAGACACCAATTCCAGTGGGCAGTACACATTTACTGGGAAAACACAGTTTGTTTGGTAACTCACTCAGGTTACCAGTAAAGACACCCAGATCCTGCACTTTCATGTTTACAGACGAGACAACTTCTGGAAATCTTCCCTTGTGTAGCCCACTCCTCCTGTTTCCATTGCTGTTTCTTGCAGCCTTAGCAAAACCACTGGCCTAGTTACCTCTGATGGAATTTCTCTAAGCTGGTACAATGCAATGAGGAGTCACCCAGGTATGAGCTCTACAGAGGGCCAGAAGGATCATGCCCCTGACACAGAACATTCTGCAGACCTCCTCTTGCTTCCCAAGTATTCCCACAAACTCTCAGACAGCCTCTGCCTGTCCCTGCTCCTGTGCCCGAAGCACAGGAACAACAAACACATCCACACAGCAGGAGTCAAACCTGCTTCTCAGCCATGCAAATCACCAGGCTCTGACAGAGACAGTCTGCAAAAACAACAAATGGTCAAATATTTGCACCCTTCATTTACCAGGGTCCATTTGTACTTTGTCTTTCCCGGACAGGTGAAATGGATGGAGGACCTTCATCTTGCAAAAAAATTACCATGAACTTTGCATCTGGAACCTGCTTCCCTCCTCTGCTTCCTCACAGATTCCAGTGGACAGAGGTCTATTTTTTCCTTTATTCATTTTATTATCCCATGTCAGATTTATTCAATAAACTTCACCCACATCATTCCAGCATAATTCTCTAAATTTTTCAAAATTGTCAGCCTACACACTTTAGGACTAGCATGGGACATAAGCTTTGAACCCTTACAGAAGCAGAACTGAACTTGTCAAAATAATGCTCTTGCTCTACACTTCTGTACAATTCTCTAATGAGTCAAAATGTCTACTGGACAGGGGATGAAATGCAGAAAATGGGTAACACTTCCCAAGAAGTGGGCATGATCCCACTCTTGAGTCATGCACATGTGCCAGTACCTGCTACAGAGTAAGAAACAGTAGTGAGCAATATTGCTTTATTAGGAAAAAAATATCTTCTCTTCTTACAATAAGAGAGGATTCCTTAAATTTCACTTCAGCTTTCCAGAAACTAGCACTGAAGCTAAGCAAGTCACTCAGGTTGTCTCTGTAGTACAGCTGAAGGGAGAGAGACCCTGTGTCTGGTTTAGGCTGGTAAAGTAAGGCCACTTTGGTTCAGATTCATCACCTAATTTTCTATTCCCAATTCACAGTTTTCAGTCATTCCCAGGTAACTTCATATCAGGATAGAAAGGTTACAGTAAGGTTACAAAGGTCCCAGAAATTTTTTAAGTAGTGTCCTTCAGTGAAGGTATCAAGAAAGCATTTCTGAATTTTGAGTCTTTGCTAAGCCCCAGAGATGAAACTCTGTCCTCACAGAAGGTCAGTAGCAGAACTACCACTGACTTTACTGTACCACAAATCTCTCCTTCTACAAGCTGTTTCCCCAAGCTCTTTGTACCTTTGATGTTCAGTGTCTGATTTTCATATTACTTTCAATCTTGTGGACTTTCATATCCTATGTCAGGTTTGGAACAGCAATAACATATGACAATATTCTCTGGAGAAATACTAATTGGACAAACCATAAACGTTCAAAAGAAAAACTTGTTCTGATAAAATGTGAGACTTCTAAAGGTTGGGAGAGGTATGAGTTGCAACTCTCTAGTCCCTCTATTTACACAGCACATATTGCCAACTATGTGCTGTGGGATTTAAAAACTACTGTGCCATTGTCCTGTGCCAGACAATGGTGTGACCAGCTACCATGTTCATTTACTCTCTGTAATTAGCAGGAAGATGTAGCAAAAGGCAAAGAAATCAGCTCATAAGTGGATCTGATGACAGGCAGGACATCACAGTTACTTCTACACTGTTTTTGAAGACTGGGCACAGACTTGTCTATCATCCACACTGGACACAAAGTAATGTCCAGGCATGGGTTTAGAGTGAAATGCAGGGGATGGGGAAAAAAAATTGGCATTCCTTTACTTTCCAGCACTGGCTGAAGGGCTCACCCACTTGCAGTGGGTGACTTGCAGTCACAACCAATGTCATACACTCTCCAACAAGACACATCCCTGGGGAATGGAAGAGTTAGTCAGGGCCTTCTTTCTTTAAAAGCCTGACACCCCATGCAGAAAGACACTATGGAGGATGTAGCCCTCTTGAAGCTCTCACACAGACATGAGATGCAATTCCTGCTCAAGTTTTTCTGTGACTATAAGCCTTGCTCTGCAATGCCATCCAGACTTAAGCGCCTTCTACTTTGAAGTACCGAGGCAAATTAAATACAAACTCCAGTAATACACAAATGAAATAAAAAGGCACTACATCAGGCACAAGAAGCATATGAGCCAGAGACCACTGGAAGCTGGGATAATATTCTGGAGAAGTCATTACAGGTTTGTCATACTCAGTGCTGAGCACCACTGTCACTGCTGCTGGAAAAAGGAAATGCTGGGCTGGGGGAAACTGGGCTAATCCAACCTGGTTGGGTTTATGTTCACAAAATCAGCACCTATTAATATACAGATTAAGTAAATAGCTTGGCTTCAGGGAAGCATCCAGCCGTGTCTGGGCAGCAGCAGCAGATCTGAACCAAAGTGAAACCATTCTATGATTCTATGCTTCTGTGACCTGAGCCAGACTTCTTCAGAAGAGAAAAAAGGAAATGAGAACAAAATTCACAGCACCTTGGTGTCAACAAATGTGCCAGCAGCCGATGCCACAACACATCTCTCGGCCATGACCAGTGGAGCGCCGGCAGGCCTGGCCAGGTCAGGTCAGGTCTGTCTGGAGCACAGACAACGGGGTCACAGAGAACTGGCTGCCCCCACAGCACAAGTCACTGCTTTCTCCACCATGCATCTGTTGGGTGAACCCTGACATCAGCCAGCCCTCGTCGCTCCTGTCGCCAGCAGTTCCTGTCTGAAGGAGGCGGCTGGGGACTCAGTGAAACCCTACATATTTTAAAGACAGCCATTCAGCTGCCAGCAGGAAGACAGTGCATTAATTGTCACACAAAAAAGCCTGATCTTATGAGATAAGACTTTAATTAAGCTTCCTTGCCCTGGGGGTGCAGATGGTATGGGTTTCACCACCAGCCCCCAGCATGCCTCAGGCACTTTGGCAATCTGCTTCCAATTTTGCAGGAGCAAATGTCTGACTGGAGAAGTTCTTGGGAGTGCATTTTTTCCCCCTCCACCTGCTCCTCTGGGTTTCTAAAAATGGAAAGAAACATCATGGGAAATAAGAGAGGAAGTCTCCGGTTTAAATTATGTGCTGACATGCTCGATACTTCTACAAAAACTGGGAATCCTCCTTGCTTAGAAACAACTTTTAATCTACCGACAGAGGATTAATTATCATCATATCATAAACTCTAGGCTAGAAAGGAAAGATTAGGTGACTTAATATTCTTCTCAACAGAGCTGTGCTTTTCTGTCCTGCAATAAATTTCCAGGCTTTCACTCATCAGGAAAGCACTCCTAGAAGACACTGGTACACCCTCAGTGCTGTGCCAGTCGGCACTGTCCTCATGTGGCACTGCAGGACAGACAGACAGGAAACAGAAAAAAACATCATCTTAGTTGTGCTTCTCTGCCTCTCAGCTCCTGAGTCATTGTGGCTAATGTAGAAATAAAATTCACATTTAGGGCAGATGAGGCTTAGAGACTTTACTGAGGAAATGAGGCACCAACCCAGTGCATAAAGTTTGCATGGCAAAATGCTACGAGGACCCTGGGAGCAAACAGCGTCCTCTTTCCACCTGCCCTGTTAGTCTTGGTGGTGTTTGGGAAGGACCATATTCCCTGTGATAGACTCAACACACTGCCTGTCAGCAGTATCCATCAGGGAAAGCCCAGCACTGAGCCCGCACACATCAGGGCTGCCCGGCACTCCTTGGAGCTCTTACCCTGCAGTACTCGTCGATGGGCTTTAGCCTCTTCACAGCTACGTCTCGGACATGGCTCCTCCGGAACAGAATCTTGCCTAAGGAAGGAACAGATGAAAGGGGAAGGTTAGGGGCATCAGCTGCCATGTGAGATAGCACAACAGCACCAAGCAGAAAGGTCAGCAGACAGGGTTTCATTCCTGGCTCCAACCATGGCTGTCAGCAGTGCCAGTGGCCAAGCTCTGCAACCCCATTATGTTCCCAGCTGAGAAGTTCCAGAGCTTGAGAGGTTCACAGAGCTGCAGCTCTGTGTGAGTGCAGCCCCCCATCACTACAAGTCACACAGGATGGCACACTTGAAGGAGGTGTGAGCAACAAATCCACTCTTGCTCTCAGAGCAAACTGCAGAGAAAGGCATTGCAGGGCAGGCAGCAGAGGGGTGTGGGTAGACAGCAATTACAGCAGCGTCCATGGCACTTCTTGAAACTGGATGCTGCTCTCTTAAGTTTGCACAGGAAATGCAGCACATGGCCAAGAACTACCAAAGGCACAGCAGCTCTGTGAACCCTTGGTGACTGCCACCAAAGCCCTGCTTGTATGAGCCACCAGAAGGAAGTCTCTACATAAGAGACTAATGGGATAAAGGGAGTTTTTCTGATTTCATCCTGTAGATAACACAAAAGGACTTGGTTCCCTTTTAGTGATGGCACTATCCTGGAATGGACCAAAACTATGTTATGACTTGCTACTACTTCAGGGTTACTTTGGCATGCTCATGCTGGCTGTGCAGGAAGCATTGCTGGGGTGGGTAGGCTCCATCTACTTCCCAGCCAGCTGCCTCCCACTGTGGATGCTCCTGCCCTTGCAGGCAGGCAAACCGCACACCCAGCTCACAAGCAAATACGAGGCTGTTAGTGACAGAGCCCTTATAAATCTGCAGAGAGAAACCAAATAATAGAAGAAAAATAAACAAACTCTTTTTTTGAAACTAAAAAAAAATAACAATCTCCATGTCCTTACTGGATGACATTTCTGCAAGCAGTTAAGATTAAATAAACGACTGGGGTTTGTGTGAAACTGATTGTAACAAAGTTTATCAAAATAATCTAGGAGCTGAGTTTCCCCACACACAAGGATGTCATAGAGTTGGTATTTTTCTGGCTAGAAAGGATTATATCTTCATATCCTTTTTTGGTGGTTTTCTTCCCTTTTCCTTTTGTGCTGTATTTCTTTTAAAGTAATGAGACAAGAATAAATTATATGTTCTCCTTGTGGTGGAAGAAAACAGTATCTGCCAGCATTATTTAGTCCATGAAACGTCCATGTAAAAAAACCACGACATATATACCACTCCCTGCTCCAAACTTCTTCTGCCAACAGGCAAATAAGATACTCATCCATAGATCATGAGATAAGAAAATGGACTAGGAAGTTAAATCAGATCCAAAATCTGAATATGTGGCTTTGACTTTGTCATGATTACACAAGCTGAAAGGTTAATGAAATTACAGCCTTTAAGAGTCCAGTAGCAGAGGCTCTAAACCCTCCAAGACACTGCCCCTTTTGGTTGCCTTTTTCTACATAGCTGCTTATCTAGAAAGTGTTAAAGCCTTTTGTTTCAGACAGGAGAAAGTGGTTTATCTTCATCCCCAATTCTGGCAACAAAACAGTTTGTCCTGTGAGGTAAAGCCATTTCCTGGTGTCATAAATTTGTCTCTCTGGGTTCCCTGTGGTTATCTCATTACTAAGCTGGTGTTGAGCCATCCCAGTAGGACGTGCTGCCATGAGGTCAGAGAGCACAGGGGAAATCTTCAATTGGTGTCTGAGATGCTCATCTGGGCTTGAGTAATTTAGTGAAAAGCTGCTTGAGGAGGAAGGTGTCACTCCCATCTCCCTGCACTGATCCACTCTGGACACACCAAAACATTCCTGCTTTTCTGCTTCTCTGTCTAGTAAACTCTTAGAATTACCTGCCCTTCTAAAACGTTTCTGATAGCCTCGAGGGTCACTGTGTACTTGTACTGTGTAACTAGAGTAAGCTGCTTTTTTGGAGGGAAGGGATGTAGGCATAGCTGTAGAGAAAAGACTAGTTCCTTTCTCAGTGCTCCAAAAATGTTGGTGTGGGAGATCTTGGTATTTTTTTGCAACTTTTATAAATACGCTGCAAAGAGAAAGTGACATTTTGGAAACATTCTCACTTTCTGGCTTTCCTGTTTTCAGTTCAAGCCATGAGTCTAAAGTTGAACTGGTGACCATACAAAAACATTAAGGAACCAAAGACTTCAACACATTAAAAATCTCCTGTAAATGCAATTCGGCTTTCTTAAAAGTAATAATAAAGAATGTTATATTAAACAGAGTACAAAAAAGACCACAGGATATGATGAATCTTAATTCAGTCCTTAAATGGAGATGGAAAATATCAGGACAACTGTGGTGTTAGAACAAAACAAAGCCGAGAAGGTGCTTCCATTTTTATCCCTCCAATAAAAGAAAGATCTTCCCTCTACTACTGGAAGCTGGAAAAGGCTCAATGAGGCCTCTGGAGAAGATCTGTAGCTGCTTTGTCCAGTATGGCATTCAAAGCTGAGATCTGGAGGAGGCTGAGTATTTCAGAGCACCATGGAGTAGCAGTCAACAAATTAAAAAGCAAGAAGAAAAACAAAGACATTCCACAAGCACATCCAGTTCTGTTGGGCAGCAAGGAGGGACCCCCTCACAAATTCTGGAGGTCCTCAAGTGAAGAAGTCTCACTGACAGGGGTACTAAAGCACATCTAAGGAGAGACAACTTCCCCACTGTCTGTCTGGGAAGACAGACTGTGCTGACAGAAGATCAGCCAAAGCCATCATGACCGAGCAGCAGGAACAACTGCAGATCCAGAAGTTGTTACTACTGCTTTCTCCAGTTCCCCTATTTGTCCTGGTCTTCCCCCAAAAGCAAAGGACGTCCCATCAGGACTGGAAAAGGAAGGTAATCTGAGAGACCCACGTTGTACATACTCTTTACGTTCTCCAAGTGAGTGCAGACCCCATCAATGGAAAACTTAGCCTAACAAGGTAGGTAGGATCACCCTAAAGAAATAATGAGAAGGCAGACAGCAGAGCAGCAGGGGCACATCAGAGCCAGCGAGGAGCCCTGAGCACGGCAGTGGAAGGGAGCATTTCACCCAGAACAAACATGAAGTGGGGAAGTCCTGGGGTGGTGGTAAATGCAGAACAGCCCAGGCAATTTCCTTGTGAGGGTGGAGTAGTGGTTCATGTGCCACTTGGCTTTTCCTCTGGGAAAAGCCACATCTCTAAGGAAGGGATCTATTCTACGCAAGTACATACAGTGCTGCTTCCGCTTTCCTGAATTTTACTGCAGCTCTTTTAAGCCTCCTCAAGCACTACAACCCCACTTTACAGAAGGATGAGCGGCTTTTTAACCATGCTGCAGCCTAGCTAGGAAGTGAACAGGAATTGTGCCTCAGATTCAGATGGGAATTTAAATGTTACATGAGACAGCGCTGTCTCATGCAAATATTTCATTCACCGGTGTGCCAGGCTTTGACAGGGCCAAGGGAGGTCTGGCACATGTTAGGAAGGCCTCCGAGGACAGCAGCACTTGGAAAGAAAGACATGGGAAAGACACAGGGCTCCAGCCCTGCTGCTAATGCAGGATAACAATATTTATTTTTATCCTTTTTTCTTTAAAGAAAATATTATTCCTAGGAAATTAATGTGGATAAGAGGCAAAGTATCATGTTTAGCAGAGTAGAGGACATCTTAAGTCATCCCTTCATCTCCCTGTATATATATATATATATATATATATATATATATATATATATATATATATTTATATATTTATATATTTATATATTTATATATATATATATTCTTTAATTCCACGACCACACACCTCTTCTCTCACAAGACCTAAGTTTCCTCCTGTATACACAGTGGGTGCACAGAGTGGGAATAATAAAGCTATGCAGGAGACTGTCTATCTGGCAGCTGCTGATTCTTCAAGCTTAAAGGCATCCTCTGAGTATCATTTTGTTCCTGCATGACCTCATACTTAGAGTAACACAGATTTTTAACAAATGAGGTCCAAGAACAAACCAGCTAAAATGCATCCCAACACTCCCATTAGCCTACTAGTTTGTGCTGAGCATACTAGAAAGGTCCACAGCCTAATGCTTTGTAATGGTCAAGGACGTTGTTTGTGCAAGGAAGAAACCCAGCTCCTGGTGGGCTTGGTGACACTGCAGAGCACAGTGTGGAAGCAGGACAGCACCCAGTGCCACTAGGCAGAGAAACCTAAAAGTCCCCAACAGGATGGCCTAGCAGGAGAATCCAGCCTCTCCTCTTCAAGGTCCTGCCTGAAACTCTCACACACCTGCCACACAATCTATCTCCCAAATGGAGCATTTAAACATGCACTGCCACCTTACAATGAAAACAGACAAATCAACAGCACAGCACTGCGGAATAGAAGAAAAAAGTTATTTTTCTCATACGATTGTCAATCAGATGGCAATCTGACAGCAGCCAGAAGGGAGGTGTGTTCCTTACAAGATAATGTCTTACTTTTATAGGGGGATTCCAGTTTCCATGGATTGTTTCATCCATGACTTCCTGGAGTCAGAAAGTCAGTGCCAGGGTCCTAACACTGATGGCATTTGCTCATGACAAAGAAAAGGGAGGGAAATGATTCATTGTGTTTCCACTATTGGGAAGGGAAAGGACTTTTTTAATAAGTAGAAATTCGTGACAGAGTCAGAACTGTTGGCTGAACTTGGCTTGCCAAAGCGCCTCAGCTGATAAAGGCCTTTGCTAATCAGCAGAAATTACTATGGAAGGTGACAAGAGGTGATGGAGACAGATGGGGCAGCCAAGAAAGCCACACAAGGAATAACAATATTGCCCTGAGACATGGGGAATGGAGGGGAGGGTGTCCTTGTGCCCTTGGATCCTGTTTTTAATTTGCATAAGCTGCAATGTTAAAGAAAATCACTGAGAAGCAATAAAGCATGGGAAATAACATGGTTTTTAAAAAAGAGTAACACTGGAAAGAGGAACCGTCCTCCATTAGAAGCGATAAGCAGAATATG